CATCGGATTTGGATTTTCAAGCTCTATGTACCTATGGTTTTGTATTTCTGATTTGGCGTGAGATTAGGTTCAAGACCAAAATGACCCCGATCGGACGATCGACATCAGTTCCGTCTTCGGGTCTTAAGACGAAGGGGTAAACGGTGTTGGATTTGAGTGATCTTGGAGTCATCAGATTTGGATTTTTGGGCTCTACATACCTATGGTCTCGAATTTCTGATTTGACGTGAGATGAGGTTAAAGATCAAAATGACCCTGATCGAACAATTGAAATCGGTTCCAGCTTCGGGTCTTAAGACGAAGGGGTAAACGGTGTTGGATTCGGGTGATCTTGGTGTCATAGGATTTGGATTTTTCGAGCTCTACATACTTATGGTTTTGGATTTCTGATTTGATGCGAGATGAGGTTCAAGATCAAAATAACCCCAATCGGACGATCAGAATCGGTTTCGGCTTCGGGTCTTAAGATGGTGTTGGATTCGAGTGGTCTTGGAGTTGTCGGATTTGGATTTTTGGGCTCTGCATACCTATGGTCTCGGATTTCTGATTTGATGTGAGATAAGGTTTAGGATCAAAATTCCCCGATCGGACGATTAGAATCAGTTCTAGCTTTGGGTGTTAGGATGAATGGCTAAATGGTGTTGGGTCTAGGTGACTGTGATCTAGGTGTTGTCGAATTTGGATTTTTGGGCTCTACGTACCTATGGTCTCGGATTTCTGATTTGACGTGAAATGAGGTTTAGGATCAAAATGACTCTGATTGAACAATCGGAATTGGTTCTAGCTTCGGTTTTCAAGATGATGGGGTAAATGATGTCAGATTTTGGTGATCATGGTGTCATCGGACTTGGATGTACATGAAATGAGGTTAAGGATCAAAATGACTCCGATTGGACAATCAGAATCAGTTCCAAATTCGGGTCTTAAGATGAAGGGGTAAACGATGTCGGATTTGGGTGATCTTGGTTTCATCGGACTTGGATTTTTGGGCTCTACGTATCTATGGTGTTGGATCTTTGATTTGACGTGAAATGAGGTTAAGGATTAAAATGACTCCGATCGGACAAGCGGAATCGGTTCTGACTTCGGGTCTTAATATGGAATAAATAGTATCGAATTTCAGTGATCTTGGTGTCGTTAGGTTTGGATTTTTGGGCTCTATATACCTATGGTTTTAGATCCTTGAGGCCCCATTGTAAAATTCCAAAAATGCCCCTAGGTCAATTGAGTGGTTAGCTAAAGCTTGAAGCTTGAAGTGCTTCTAATTACTTCTTATTGTTCAGAAAAGATCCCAGGGTATTACAATTCTCCTCTTGTATGTGGATGACATGTTGTTGACTGAAGATGATAGAGAGGGAATTCAAGACCTCAAGTTTCTTCTTCAGAGTTACTTTCACATGAAGGATTTGGGTCCTCTTACCTATTTCTTAGGACTTGAAGTTCAAAGGAATCACCAAGGATATTTCATTTGCCAACACAAGTATGCCTTTGATCTTGTTAAGTTGGCCAGCCTTGCTGATGATAAACAGGTTGATACTCCCTTGGAGCTGAATGTTAAATTGTCCAAGTCAAAAGGTTCCTTACTTATTGACTATCAACAACTTGTGGGGTCTCTCGTCTATGTCACTATGACTCGTCCTGACATCTTACATGCGGTTCAGGTTGTAAGTCAGTTTGTTTCTGCCCCCCATCAACCCCATCCCCCATTTGATTGTTGTATATCGGATTATCAGCTATGTTCGGGACACTTTATCACAGGGACTATTCTTCTCTTCGTCCTCCCCTATCCAATTGAGGGCCTATGCTGATGCAGATTGGGCAGGCTGCCCTGACACACGGCATTCCACTACCAAGTGGTGGAAACAACAAACTATCTCCAAGTCATCTACAGAAGTAGAGTACAAGGAAATGTCATTTGTATGTAGTGAAATTGTTTGACTTCAATCTCTATTTAGGGAACTCGGTCACTCCTCTACTCCTATCCCTCTGTATACAAACAACACTATTGCTATAAAGATTGCTTCTAACCCTGTCTTTCATGAAAGGACAAAGCACATTGAGGTGGATTGCCACTTTATCTGAGACTTGTTTCTTGTTGGCTCTATCTCTCTCCCTCATGCCGCCTTCAATGCGCAAGTTGCTTATATCTTCACAAAGTCCATGATGAGATTCAGACATTTATTCCTTGTGGGCAAACTGATGTTATTGCCTTTGCATTAGTTTGAGGGGGAGTGTGTAGAGTCCCAATGATGTATCTTATTCTGTAGTCCCTGTTGTATTGTATTTTCCTTCTTGTTATTTTCTTCTTTAGTCCTGTGAGAACTTTTATGTATATATATATATATATGTTATCTTGGGGAGGGATCAATTGATTCAGTTTTTCACCCCAGAATTGTGTTCTCTTCTCTTGTACGAATTGGTTGTATGATAGTGAGTTAGTGTGATTAATGAACCTCCTCCAAGAGATTGGGTATACACTCAACAATACTATGAAGTCGCATTGTGACAACCAAGCTGCTGTTCACATCGCATAATCCAGTTTTCCGCGAGAGAACAAAACACATAGAAGCTGACTATCATTTTGTAAGAGAAAAGTGCTCAATGGAGTGATAAATACATTATATGTGAACACAGGGAGTCAGTGGGCTGATTTGTTTACAAAAGGGTTGAGTTGAGGAAAAGTGGATTATGTACATAACAAGCTGGGATTATATGATATATACTCACCAGATTGAGGGGGAATGTTAGAGACGACAGTCTAGGGGTATTTGAGTCATTTCATAATGTTTTACTTTAAGTTATTTTATCTATTGTGTTTGAGGTTGAGTAGAGTGCCCCATACATAAAGAGGGGTAGAAAGGTCTTTGTGCTTAAAGTTTGAAATCTCTCTCTCTCTCTCTCTCTCTCTATCTCTCTCTCTATCTCTCTCTCTATCTCTCTCTCTCTCTATATATATATATATATACACACACACATTATTTCTGGTCGGCTGGGAGACAGATTTTTCTCTTTGGAGACCAGCTGAACCATCTCTTCATCATCTCCTCTCTTTCTCTCTTCTTCTTGCTCCCTTCTTCTCTCTTTCTTTTTATTTCAGGAAGTAAACCATGTCTGATTGAAAAACTAACACTACTTCCTTCCTACAAACATAAACTAACAAAATACTATCAAAAAGAGATATAAGATATTTGATGTCATTGTATAGAGATTGTTCACACCAACTGGTGTTTCCTGTGGTTCCTTTCATTTTAGATAAAACAGTTTTTGCATCTGAAAATAACATAGCCTGAGTATCCCCCAGAGAGAGGAATCTTCTGAGACCTCTGATGACTGCCCAGATTTCAGCTTTGGCTAGGGCCTCTTCACAAGGTTGTCCTTCTACAATAATTTGTGCTTCCCGTGAGCCTAAGAAAAGCCATGGACTTCAAAAACCACCTATATCTTAATGAAATGTGCTATGATATTATGTTTAAACACAATGCAGACAAAAACTTTTGTTTCAATTTATCAATCATTTCGTTATGCTTATTTTATTTTTATGGTAATTTGATAAGGACATAACCAAATGCTGGTTCTTGCTACCTGAGATCTTGGAAGGGGTAGAATTGATTTGGACCTAACCTCTGGCATTTATTGCTCAGAATAGATTTTACCTTTGGACAAGAAGAGATCCCCTTTAACAAGGCATTCTAGTTGATATGCCATCATTTTGGTCTCTTGGCCCAAAAGTGGGTCTTTTGATGATTTGTCTATATATTCGATCATCCAAAAGAGATAACAGACCTGATCGATTGCTATTAGGAGAGGTTATTTGTACTCCATCATGGTCAGGTGTTTTTGGTTTCTAGGTGCTGCAGATTTGTGGATGTGAGGGTTTAAGGCTGCAATTTCACTTAGAAGCATTCTTCATTGAAGTTCTTGTCTTTTACATCTAGTTCTTACTGCATTTTTTTAATTAATAGAATGCCATCATCTATTCTGCATAATAATACTCTGTTTTTTTCCTTCGCAATCTCCTTTTCCTTTGGCTCCACGTATCTTGGGTTGTGTCTATTTTGTTCAACTCCTTGGTCCAGGTATAAATTGGATGTCAAGGCTGTAAAATGTGTTTCTTGGCCATCCTTGTACAAAGAATAGAAATAAGTGTTACAATCCTACTTTTAGAAAGTCCTTTGTCTGTTCCAATGTTACTTTCTTTGAATTTATGCCCTAATTTGCTCTTGATATTGTTTGTACTAATGATTTTATGGTGTCTTTGCCTATTCTCATCATCATCATCACCCATGCCTTGTCCCAACTATATGGGGTCAGCTACATGAATCCTGTTTTGTCAATCTGTTCTATTCAATGCCATATTCACTGTTGAATTTTTTAGTGATTAAATCATTTCTTACTACTTCTACCCATGTCCTCTTTGGTCTACCCCAAGCAAGCTCTTCTAGCCCCTTCAATGTGTAACAAATCTCTTTTTCTAACTAGTGCAATAGGTATTTGATGCACATGGCCAAACCATCTTAGTCTACTCTCTCTCATTTATCATCTATTGGAGCTACTCCCAGGTTCCTATGGTAAGTCCATTCCTAATCCTATCTTTCTAGTTTTCCCACTCATCCATCTTAACATTCGCATTTCTGCCACATTCATTTTGCGGACATGTTGCTTGACTGCCCAATTCTCTGATCCATACAACATAGTTCCCCTATCACATAAAAGTCCAAATGTACCCCTCCTTTTTGCCTATCCTTCTCTAATTCTTTGGGTGACATCCTCCTCAATCTCCCTTGTTATGAATTATCTCTCCCCTAGTTGTATCTCTTTTTTTTGGGGCGGGGGGGGGGGGGTGGGGGATGGGGTGTTTTTGAATTGGATGCTTCTCTGTTTGATTAAGGTGTCTCTTCACTATAATAATGTTTTTGACCAGGATATTTATTATGTTAATATGCTTTGCATTTTGACTACAAAGTCAAGTCTCACTGTTTGTAATTGTATTTGCTTTTTAGTATGTGGTGGTGGATCTGGAAAGCATCCTCAGTTTATTCCATCAACTCCAAGGTGGGCTGTTGCTAATGGTGCAGCTGTTATATTAAGTGTCTGTGATGAGGAAGTTGCTCGCTATGAAACTGCTACCTTAACAGCAGCTGCTGTACCTGCACTTTTGCTTCCTCCTCCAACAACACCTCTCGATGAGCACTTAGTGGCTGGATTGCCAGCTCTTGAGCCATATGCACGCTTATTCCATCGGTAGATATCTAGTTCTTTCATTGTTTCTCACTGCTTTTTCCATAATAATATTTCTAATAGCTGTTTTTTTCTCCTCATTAGGTATTATGCAGTTGCTACCCCAAGTGCTACTCAGAGACTTCTGCTTGGACTTCTAGAAGCACCACCATCATGGGCTCCAGATGCACTTGATGCTGCTGTACAACTTGTTGAGCTCCTTAGGGCAGCTGAAGATTATGCATCTGGTGGCATGAGGGTAAGGCCCAAAGGGCACAACCTCCCAATATGCTTGTTTTAACTACATATAGCTTGCATGATGAATATCATGCTGAATAGATGCATTTGCACAAATAGAATTAGATTGTTTTTCCTGATAAGTTTTCGCTAGGGGTGATGTTTATTTTATGTCTTGAACTCCATGTTCTTGGGAGATCCAAGGTTCCTATGAAAACCTCATAATGCAGGATGTCTAAGGGAATTATATTAAGCTGGTGTTGGACAGATTCATAAAGTAGACAACATCCACTCTAAATTGGATTAGGGTGGTGAAGTCTTGGAAAGGTGATGGATCATGTAACTCATGTATCCACGTTTAGATATTGAATCTTTGAACTTTGAATATGGGGAGGGAGTTGTCCATCTCTTTATGTACATTTTTTCTAAGTGTTTCTGAGGTTTGGTTAAGTCAATAGTAGTACTCGTAGTCAAATGGAATGTTTATGGTGTTCCTGGAAGGCAGGAATAGAAAAGCAACTACTGCCTTTGTTGGTTAGGTCAATTGATAACTTAGTGCTTTCAAGCAATTCTGCCTTAGCTGAGTGACAGTTCCTGGTTTTATTGGGCGTACTTACTTCAAGTCTTATTTCCATTGTTGGGTTGACCTCATCTCGCATTTTTTACCTAATAAGAGTTGTTTCATGGAAGTACCAGTTAAACTCCATTTCCCCTTTAGTTTGTTAGTTGCATTTCACTTGTTTTACTCTTTTTAGTACCGGAATGATAATATTATAATACCATGAGAAAAGTGCAGCCTTTGTTTTGTATTTCTTCCGTATGTTCTTTGTTGTCTTGATTTCTTGATACAGCTCCCAAGGAATTGGATGCATTTGCATTTCTTGCGTGCAATTGGGATTGCAATGTCCATGCGAGCAGGTATTGCTGCAGATGCAGCAGCAGCTTTACTTTTTCGTATACTTTCACAGCATGCATTGCTTTTTCCTCCACTGAGGCAAGCTGAAGGAGTTGAGGTTCAACATGAACCTCTGGGTGGTTATATTTCATGCCATCGGAAACAGGTAATTAAGTCCATTTATTATTTGTACATGACTCTTACATTCTAAGGATTCAATATAATTTAGGATAAAATATAAAAACATCCCCTGGATTTTCTGACAATCATATAAACCTCCCTTGTGTTTTGACTGTAACATAAACCTCCCCAGTAGTTTTGAAAACATGTAGAGTTACCTTCCTTTCGTACTGACGTAATGCATTTTCAAATATCAGATTTACCCTCGAGTCAAGCTGACATTCTACCTGATTAACTTTAATAACAAATAAATAAACAAAAATGAAGAATTGATTTCGTTTTCTCATGCTTGTTCTCCTCTGTTACAGATGGTATCCTTCTACCTCTAAAATTCCCTCCAAAACCAGGTTTGCCCAAGTTCAAATTGAACTCATCCCACCTCCCCACTCCATCTGGTACAACTTCAAAAGGTTGTTCATCTACTAACTCCTTCCTGGCACACTTTGTTCTTCTATATTCATCTTTCATGTTTCTCCAACCACTCTCAACAGCAGCTAATTCCCCCCCCCCCTCTTATTTTTTGGATGTGGCCTTCTACTACCACGATTTACCACTGGGAAGCAGCCATCTCCTAGTGCTGGGTCCATTAATTCCTCAGCACATGCCTCTCTTCTATACTTGGTTCCCAAACCACTCTCATCAGCAAATGTTTCCAGTCAAGTCTTGGAAATGGCCTTTCCGCAATATCATTTGCTGCTGGATGACCCATCAATCTGTGTCCAAAGTTATTTCTTTTCTAGTTAGAATCCATGTTCTCACACTCTTAGATTTCTCTCTGAACTGACGATACATTCATGGCCTTCATGTTATGTGCTGTCCCAACTGATCAACATATTAGTCCTCCACGTTCTTGGGAAGTTAGAGATGTCTCTGAGACAAAGGAGCTCAACTACTGATAAGTCCTAGCCCATTGGACTTGTTGTAAGGCCACTACCTCCCCTTGTCATGGATCTTATTCTCTGACTTTGGATGTGGGGTTCATTTTGCCTCATGCTTTTGGAAGCACAGTTGATGATAATCCAATCCATCAAAGTTGCGAGGATGCTGCCGCATACCCTCCATCAATTCCATGACGTTTTTAGGTGGATACATCAATTGTGGAATAGAGGTGACAAGATTCGAAATAGTTAGAGGCCACAATGGAGCAGCTCTGTTTCTATCACAATTCACAACCATATCTTGTGACTTTTTATTCGAGGAGGTGTTCCAACAAGGTGGGCAATGGAGATTTTGGAGAAAAAATGATGAATTTGCAGCAAACAAAAAGAAATGCTTGGAAGCTAAAGCAAAAGATAGGCATGAATTCAAAAATAGAACTAAATAGAAAATACAGTTCATTTGAAGACGGTGGTTGAACGTCAGCTTGACCCCAAGGGTAAAACTGGTATTTTAAAAATAAATGCATTACCTCAGTAAGAAAGAGAGGTAACTGTGTGTTTTTTCAAAACTATAGGGGAGATTTTTGTTACAGTCAAAACAAGGGGGGTTTTTGTGATTGTCAGAAAACCAAGGGGATGTTTTTATATTTTACCCTATAATTTACCTGGCTGTAATTATTTCATCATTTTGATGTCATTGTCCTCATGTCTGCTTGATTTTCCAAGTCAGTTTGATGGAACTGTCATTAAAATATGTGAAAGTGTCTTCCAAGCAGATAGAAGTGCCAGGAGCAGAAGCCACTATTGAAGCCACAGCCCAAGGGATTGCATCTATGTTTTGTGCCCATGGCCCTGAGGTTGAATGGAGAATTTGTACCATCTGGGAGGTTGCTTATGGCCTGATTCCATTAAGCTCCTCAGCTGTTGATTTGCCAGAGATAATTGTTGCAACCCCACTGCAACCTCCTGTTTTATCATGGAACCTGTACTTACCACTGCTGAAAGTGTTAGAATATCTTCCTCGTGGTAGTCCATCTGAAGCATGCCTTATGAGGATATTTGTTGCTACAGTGGAAGCAATTCTGCGAAGAACATTTCCTCCCAAATCCTCCAGAGAACAAATAAGGAAATCAAGATTTTTGCTTAACATTGGGTCTGCCTCCAAGAACCTTGCTGTGGCAGAACTTCGTACTATGGTTCATTCACTATTTTTAGAATCACGTGCCTCCATAGATCTTGCTTCACGCCTTCTGTTTGTTGTGTTAACTGTGTGTGTCAGTCATGAAGCTCAGCCTAATGGGAGTAAGAGACCAAGATGTGATGATATTTATCCTACAAATGAAGTTACTGAGGACTCTCAGGTGATAAATGAGAAAAATGGGGAGGTGAGAACTAGAAAAGTGAAAAGACAAGGGCCTGTTGCAGCATTTGATTCTTATGTTCTTGCTGCTATTTGTGCTTTAGCTTGTGAACTGCAGCTGTGTCCTTTGATTTTAAAAAGTGATAAACGCTCAAATTTTAAAGATGCATCAAGCACACCCAAGCATGAAAAAGTAAATGGATCATCTAATGACTTGCGTAATGGTATGGGAGCAGCAATTTCTCATACTCATAGGATATTAAGAATTTTAGAGGCACTTTTTTCTTTGAAGCCATCTTCTGTTGGCACCTCATGGAGTTATAGTTCAAATGAGATTGTTGCTGCAGCCATGGTTGCTGCTCATGTTTCTGAACTTTTCAGACGTTCAAAGGTTTGTATGCATGCTCTCTCTATCCTGATGCAGTGCAAGTGGGACAATGAGATTTACACCCGAGCATCTTCTCTTTATAACCTCATTGATATTCATGGAAAAGCTGTTGCATCCATTGCTGTGAAGGCAGAGCCCCTAGCAGCACACTTGGTACAGGCACCATTATGGAAAGATTCCTCAGTATGTAACACTGGTAGAAAACAAGTAAATTATTCGAAGACTAACTGCTTCAAATCAGAGTCATCATCAACTAGTTGGCCTGAAGGTGATAATGATTCAACTCATTCAAAAAGCTTCCTAAAATGTGAGAAAGCATCACTTTCAAATGACAGAATTGTGAATACAATGGCAAAAAGTATAGAAAATTTTTCAATGGACGCTTCCGATTTGGCCCATTTCCTGACAATGGACAGGCATATAGGACTTAATTGCAGTGCAAAAGTTCTTCTAAGATCTGTGCTTGCGGAGAAACAAGAATTGTGCTTCTCTGTTGTTTCACTTTTGTGGCACAAGTTAATTGCATCCCCAGAAACACAGCCAAGTGCCGAAAGCACTTCTGCTCATCAGGGGTGGAGGCAGGTACTGTTCATCTACACTGACATACACATGTGGCTAGTTCTAAGGTTGTTCAAGTTTTTTCTGGTTGATGTAAATGAAAAAACAAAATAGATTTCTAAAATGAAAATATTGGAATTTTTTCACAAAAACAAATGTGATTCAGTCCAATAAAAATCTGTAAAATATTTTCAGATTATAACAAAGAGAGAAAAAGAAAGAACAAGAAAACAAGAAGATGGAGAAGGGAAAAAAGAAGTGTTCCATGGTCTCCTGTTCCACCTCTCTTGTCTTTTATTAATCTTACTAAGATTGAGCAAATTACAAGTCTGCCCTTAAGTGGGCGGCCTGTTCATCAACATACTTAAAAAGCACAAAAGGAATTAACAGGCCCATAGAGGAAAGGCCCATTAGCAAACAAAGCAACTAGAAAGAACTAATAATAAATACTGATGGGATAGGGCCCATTTGGCCTAGTCTCTCTACACTCCCCCTTAAGCTAAGGATAGATATCAATCATGCCTAGCTTGCTTATATAGTGAATCAGCTTTCCTTTAGGAACACCTTTTGTTAAAACATCAACCAACTGTTCTTCAAAAGCAATAAATGGTAGGTAGACTTCTCCTGAAGCAACTCTTTCCCATATAAAATGCTTATCAACCTCTATGTGCTTAGTTTTGTCATGTTGAACAGCATCATGTGCAATGTTGATAGCAACCTGGTTGTTAGAATATATTTTTTTTTTATTGGACTGGTTGTCAGAATATAGCATCATTAACTTCTCACAAACAATACCCAATTCTTTTAAAAATGATCTTAACCACAAAATTTCTAAAACTCCATGTGTTGTTGCCCTGTACTCTGCTTCAGCCAAGGATCTAGCCACTACAAATTGCTTCTTACTCCTCTATGACACAATGTTCCCTACCACCATAGCACAAAAACCTGAAGTGGATCTCCTATCATCAATACATCCAACCCAATCAGCATCACCATATGCTTCTAACTTCATGTGTCCATGTTTATCAAACAAGATACCCTTCCCTAGAGTTCCTTTCAAGTAACACAGAACCCTCTCTGCAGCTGCTAAATGTGCATCTCTGGGAGAATGCATGAACTGATAAATGACACTAATTGCAAAGGAAATATCTGGCCGAGCCATGCAAAGATATAATAATTTCCCAAGCAGTCTCTAGAACACTCCCCTATCAGTCAGTAGTCAACCATCAATAGTTGAGAGCTTGTGATTGAGGTCTATAGGAATGGATGCTGGTTTACCACCTAGTTTGTTAGCTTCTATAAATAGATCAAGGGCATACTTACATTGAGAAACGAAGATACCATCCTTAGACCGAGCAACGTCAATTCCCAAGAAATATCTAAGTTCACCCAAATGTTTAATCTCAAACTCAGTGTTAAGAAACCTTTTGAGATGAAACACTTCCTGAGCATCAATACCAATAACCACAATGTCATCAACATAAACAATTAGAAGGGTTACCAAGGAAACTTTCCTCTTAACAAATAGGGTATGATCATACTGAGTTTGTACGTAACCAAAAGTAACAAGGGCAGCCCAAAATCTCTCAAACCAGGATCTAGGAGACTACTTGAGGCCATAAAGAGACTTCCTCAATTTACACAATTTCCCTTGCATCTCCTCCCCATACACCCCTGGAGGTCTCCATTCAAGAAAGCATTTTTAACATCAAATTGATGAAGTGGCCAATCAAAAGTAGCAGCCAGAGATGGCAAAACCCAAACTGAAGTCATTTCAGCCACAGGGGCAAAAGTCTCCAACAAGTATATTCCATTCACCTCATGGCTACTTCCAATCGTCCTTTAAGATTTCAAGTCCTGAAAAACACAATGAGTAGGGAAGAAGGTTACGCTACAATTCATTGATTTAGTCAAGCTACTAATAGATAAAAGGTTTGTATTGAGTTTGGGAACATGAAGAACAAAGGACAATCAAGGGAGTCAGAGGCTTTGATATTTCCTTTGCCGGAGATGGGAGAAAGAGACCCAGCAGCAAGGGATATCTTCTCTCTACCTGACAGGAGCTGATATGAACAAAAAAAAAGGTTAGACACACTGGTCATATGGTTAGATGCATCAGAAATAGAGTCTTTCTATTTCTTGCTAGCCTTAATCTCGAGTATAACATTGCAAGGCAACATATCCTTTCCAGAGATAGTGTTACTCTCTGTCAGGCATATGCCTTTGTATCAGGAGAAGAGAGTAGGTGGAATGTGATGATGAAGCATTCGGATCTTGATCAGTCGGCTATGGTTAGTACTTTGAAACCTAAACAGAGTGAAGACAGGGGTGGAAATGAAATCAGGAAGGAAGATAATAAGGACCAAATCTGTGACTATTGTAAAAAGCCTAAATACACGAGAGATACCTACTAGAAGCTTCACCCTCACCTTGTGCCGAATAGACTCAAAAACAACAAGGGAAATGTGAACATGGCAGTAATTGGTGACTTACCTGGACCTCCTACTACAGCTACTTTGGAGTCTGTTGCAACTACTACAGTGAGGGCCGAGCTTGAGAGATATGGGCAGTTACTTAGTCAGCGAGATACAGTCAACCCTAATCCATTATCAAGTGGACATCTAGGTACAAGTGGATCTAATGGTGGACATTCTACTTCTTTTGCCCATGCAGGTAGTTCACATGCCTCTACAAACTATGTTTCTACTACATGTAAGGAAGGACCTCCTTGGATTATAGATTCTGGAGCCTCAGAGCATATGACCCATATTTCCACCATTTTCTCCTCTTACCAACTCTGCTCTAGTAGAGATAGAGTTTCAACAACTGATGGATCTCATGTTCCTATTGTTGGGAAGGGGTCTGTCAAGATAATCGATTCCATTTCCCTACCCTTTGTCCTTCTTGTACCCAGATTAAGTACTAACTTGTTATCTGTTAGTAGTTTGACCAAGAATTTGAATTGCTCAGTGTTTTTTTCTCCTGGCCATTGTGTTTTGCAGGATCTGGTTTCAAAGAGGACAATTGGGAGTGGTCGTGAGGTGAATGGAATCTACCTTCTGGATGCGCATCTCAGTCATCAGAGTCATCATGTTAGCAAGGATTTTGAGTCAGAGTCTGTGGGTCAGATTATGCTTTGGCATAATCGGTTGGGACATTTGTCTTTTTCTTCTTTGTGTTTCTTATTTCAAAAGTTATTTGAGTTTGTTAATTCATCCAGCTTAGAGTGTGAAGGTTGTTAGCTTGGAAAACATTGTAGACATTCCTTTAATAGGGTTCCTTCTCATTGTTGAGACATTCCTTTAGAGTGTGGCAGAAAGGAAGAACAGAACATTGTTGAGATTGCGAGGAGCATGATGATAACATCTACTATTCCAGTTCGATTTTGGGGTGATGCAGTTCTCACAGCAGTCTTTCTGATTAATAGGGTTCCTTCTCATGTTCTTGGATACGGCACCCCATTCAGACTCCTTTTTCTTGAGGGGGAGATGTTCCACATTCCTCTCAAGGTTTTTGGTTGTTTTTGCTTTGCACATGTTCTTGGTCCTCCCTGCTCGAAGCTTGATTCGAAGGCAAAGAAGTGTGTTTTCCTTGGGTATGCAGAAAATCAAAAAGGATATTGTTGCTATGACCCAGTCTTTGGGAGTCGGTATGTCACTGTGGATGTCACCTTTTTTGAGTTCACACCTTTCTTCCAGAAGGGTTCTTCTCAGGGGGAGTGCTTTGGGGAAGGATGTGAGCAGTGTTTTGGAGAAGGAAGTGAGCAGTCTATTCCTCTTCCGGTTCTAGTCCCTGTGTCCACTCCTGTGTCTTACTCTCCTGTGTCTAATCCTCCTATGTCACCTACTTTACCACCTCCCTTGCATCCTATTTCTCACGACAACGCCTTCGACTTCACAGGGAGGTTGATTCCACAACAGGACCCACATCACTTCCTATTGGCTCCTTGGAGACTCCAAATTCGGCTAACACTGACTCGGGTATTCCTCTTGCTCCCTCTGATGTTTTAGTTCCTATTGATTCCACTAACCCCATTACAAATGACCTTGACCTTCCTATTGCACTCAAAAAAGGGAAGAGAAAGTGTATTGCTCATTGCATCTCATAGTATCTCTCCTACAGTGGACTTTCTCGTTCTTATCGAGCCTTCTTTTCTTCCCTTGACTCTGTGTCTATACCCAAGGGGGTCAGTGAGGCTCTCTCCAAACCTTGGTGGAAGACAGCTATGCAAGAAGAAATGGAAGCTTTAATTAAAATTAATACGTTGGAGATTGTGGATCCTCCAAAGGGCAAGGACACAGTTGGATGCAAATGGGTTTATATAATTAAATACAAGGAAGATGGAAGTATAGAAAGGTATAAGGCAAGACTAGTTGCAAAAGGGTACACTCAAACCTATGGCATTGACTACTTAGAGACTTTTGCACCAGTTGCAAAAATGAACTATGTTCAGATCCTTCTCTCTCTTGTTGCTACATACTCTTGGCCCATTTTTCCAACTTGATGTGAAAAATGCCTTTCTTAATGGGGACCTACAAGAAGTATATATGGATCTCCCTGTTGGTTTCTACAATGATGCTAAAAAGGGAAAGGTATGCAGATTGAAGAAGTCTCTTTATGGTTTGAAACAATCACCCAAAGCGTGGTTTGACCGGTTCAGAAAGGCCTTGATTGCTTTTGGTTATACTCGGACTCAATCAGACCATATTTGATTTGTAAAGTGGAGGGGGTCCCTTGTGTCAATTCTAATAGTTTATGTGGATGACATTGTAGTTATAGGAAATGACCTAAGTGAGATTGATAGTTTGAAGAACAATCTGTACAGAGAATTTGAAATTAAGGATCTTGGGGAGTTGAGGTATTTCTTGGGCATTGAGGTAGTGAGATCAAAACATGGCATTTTTATCTCACAGAGGAAGTATGTTCTGGACCTTTTACAAGAGACAGGGAAACTTGGGACAAAGGCAGCTAGTATTCCTATTGATCAAAATCACAGAATAAATGCATCAAAAGGTGAGCTGGTGAAGGACATTGGAAGATATCAAAGACTAGTGGGGCGGTTGTTATATTTATGTATGACAAAACCAAACATCTCTTATGTAGTGAGTGTGGTGAGTCAATTACATGCATGCCCCACGAGTTCAGCATTGGGAGGCTGTTGACAGGATTCTTGCTTATCTGAAGGGACACCCAAGTAAAGGTATACTATTTGCTAGCCATGGATAGTTGAAGCTAGAAGCTTACACAGATGCTGATTGGGCTGGATGCTTAGATGATAGGAGATCTACATCAGGAGTTTGCACTCTTGTTGGAGACAATCTGGTTTCGTGGAAAAGTAAGAAACAAACAGTTGTGGCAAGGTCAAGTGCAGAAGCTAAATACAGAGCCATGGCACATGGAGTTTCAGAGCTTCTCTGGATCCGTTCCTTGTTAGGAGAAATTGGTATTGAAGCAGAAGAACCTATGTTGTTGTACTGTGATAATCAGGCAGCAATTAACATTGCACACAACCCAGTTCAGCATGACAAGACAAAGCACATTGAAGTGGACAGACATTTTATAAGAGAAAGGGTGACTTCAGGGGAAGTTTGTCTTCCATACATTGCTTCTGATTTGCAGTTTGCTGATGTTCTTACAAAAGGTGTTGCAAGAAACAAGCTGGAGCATGATCTACGCAAGTTAGGAATGTGTGACATCTACTCCCAACTTGAGGGGGAGTGTTGAGATTGGGCCGATTTTAAGTTATTTGGCCCAACTTTGTTTTATTTTTATTTACTTAATTCAGTTAGGAGGTTATTGGGCCTTAGGCCCATTAGTTTATGTTAAGTTAAGTTGCGACTGTTCAGCTACTTCAAGTAGCCGACCTACTAAGGGTATCATTGTACTTTTCTATTCTTTTTATAAAGTATATAAATCAAAAGGAGGGCGGCTAGATCTGTTCAATTCTGGCGACATCCCATTCTTCTCTTCTTCTCTTCTTTCTCTTGCTGAAACTCTTCAACTTCTTCTTTTCTTCACAAAGATCACACTAAAACAACTTTCAGCAACTTCTACTAGAAGATGTTGAGTCTTCAGTAGTCATTAGGCAAACAATTTTACTGCTGGTTTCTCAAGGAAAATTAAGGTTCTAGTTCCACACCCCTACACCACAGTTACAAAGCTGTAACAGTCCAAACCAACCAAACCGAAAGTGAGGACAGCACACCGAATGAGGGAAAGACAGTGCCTTTGTCAAACTTCATCAAAAAACCCCAAAAGGAAGCAAACACAGCATCTGTAAGCCCTAGCCGAATAGATAGCAAACTCCCACAACTCCAAACTGTAACATTCACAGCTTACTGCACATTTACAGCTTGAATGTAACAGTACATACCTGGAGTAGAAAAAAGGATCCCATGATCCACCGTCCAAAAAAGGAAGGGCACACCCCAAATATGCTAATCATTGCATTTGGCTGTCACCACAAGTACCACAGCACCTCTTCTTGGTGTAACAACCAAGAGAGAAAAGAAAAAAAAAAGGTGCAAAGAGTGTGTCTAGATCAGTCTGATGGAGTTGTCTCCCCTTCCAGCCAAAAAAGGTAAGTTTTAGTTAGAAATCTCGATCTGAAATACTTTATCCCAGATCAAATGCTCTGATGCCATGTAATCCTACAAGGAAAAAGAAGAAGAAGAGAAAGGAAGAGGGAAGAAGAAAGGAATAAGAGAGAAGATGATGGAGCTTTTGATAATAACAGAACTGTGAATGGCCCATTTAAGCCCATTAAACAAGTGTATACCCGGGGGCCTCGCAAGATGGCCCATTATGGCTGAAAAGGGGGTAACCGGCATCTGTAAATAGCCCATGAAATAATGAGAAAGGCATCAAGCCATTTTCAGAATTCTCTCTCTCTCTCTCTCTCTCTMTATATATATATATATATATTCTGATTTCAGGAGGCAGAGTCTCCCTCGAAGAAGACTCCTGTGGTGAGCAGGTGTTATCAGTGCAGTGATGGAAGAGAAGAGGAAAAGAGAGAAAAGAGAGAAGAGAGGAGAAAAGATTGAGAGTCAAAAGCATGCTGGCGGCGCTAGCTATTTTGTTATATATATTAGGGCGACAACAACTAAAACATAAAAGGGGTAAAAGTACAATAGTACCCCTGCGGTACTATACTTAGGAAAATACAAGCTTTCAACACTCCCCCTCAAGTTGGGACATAGATGTCAATCATGCCCAACTTGTCACATAAGTCATGATGCCGTGAATGGTGTAGCCCTTTTGTAAAGATGTCTTCAGGTTGATCCTCAGAGCTGACATAAGAAGTACACACTTCCCCTGTGATAACTTTCTCTTGATAAAGTGTTTGTCGACTTCGATGTGTTTAGTTCTATCATGCAGCATTGGATTAGCAGCAATGTTTATGGCTGCTTTGTTATCACAGAATAGGGTCATAGGTATGTTCACTGGAAAACCCAACTCACTCAACAGATTCTTTAGCCACATAATTTCAACCATTCCATGAGCCATTGCTCGATATTCAGCTTCAGCACTGAATCTAGCTACCACATTCTGCTTTTTGCTTCTCCAGGTAACTAGGATTCCTCCTATGAAGGCACAGTAGCCACTAGTTGATTTTCTATCATTTAGGGATCCTGCCCAATCTGCATCATTGTACACTTCAACTTTTAAATGTCCGTTCTTTTGAAACAACAAACCAGCGCCTAGGAACTTCTTAAGATATCTGAGAACTCTTTCTGTTGCTTTAAGGTGAGTGGTCTTGGGAGCATGCATGAACTGGCTAAGAACACCAACTGCATAAGCAATGTCGGGGCAGGTCATAGAAAGATATAACAATCTTCCAATAAGTCTCTGAAACTGTTTCACATCCTTGATAGGTTCGCCTTGGCAGTCACTTGTTGTAACTGACACCTCCTACTTGATCAATTTATTGTAATAGGATAAATTGTAACTAATGAATGCTGTCAATGAAGGAAAAATGAAATCAGGCAATTATGCTGAATCCCCCCCTCCTACCTACTCTTCTTTTAGGAGGATGGTTCCCTCAAAGAACTCTGAGTTTGGCAGGTACTTAACATATTCTTACCAAGGGAGTCACCAAAGTGCATCTATTGGAGATTGTAAGCAAGTTGGACGTGATAGATATATTTGCCCCAACTTGAGGGGGAGTGTTTGAAGTATTGGGAGTCTTATATTCATGTATAAATGGGGTATTTTGGTAATTTTATATGTAATGGGCTGAGGAGGAGATATACCTCTTAAGCCCTGTTCACTTTTCAGTAAGTTACTTACCCATGTTCTTTTATTTCCCATGTAAATAAGGCAATAACCACTTTAGCCATAAAAATCCATTATTAAAAGGGGCATTTTTGTCCCATTCAAGTGTTGGCAACTTTACCCTAGGTGGGAAAGTTATTTACCCACCTAGTGATACCCAGGGAAATAAACTTTCCCTGGTCCCAACATAAATCTGATAAAAGAACATGGGTTTCTTGGTCAATGGGATTTTGATTCCCATTGACCAACTTTCCTCCCTCTCAAAATCCCAAAAAAAAAGAACGCCCCCTTATTGTAAGGGCAGAATTGTACTTTTACATGTGATTCTTAGTTGGAACAGAACATACTGAAGGGGTTAGGTGGAACTCATCAAACCCTACTCAAAACAAAATCAGATTAGCTGAACAAAATGGTTGTTCAGCGGGCTGTGGAACCAATGATAACACCCCACACCAGTAATAAAACACATGGGCCCACAGTAAGAAGTTAAATGGTTGTGGGTTTGATATATTTTATTACTGGCATGGAGCATTATCATTGGTTCCACAGACCACTGAACAGCCTAATCCTTTCTCACTCAAACCCTAAACTACTGCTTCAAGCAGACATAACAAGTTTAACACTCATCACTCAAGTTTGATCCTAAAGCCACCAAATGCATTTTTATTGGTTGTGCACAAGGGAGCCTACTGAAATAAAATAATAAAATAAAACATGGTAGTAACTTTGCAAATTACGATCTCCCTCAATCCAATACACAACTTATCATATATTTTGCTTTGATAATGTGTATGAGTTGATTAACATTCATGTTGTATAAAGGTAATCGATGCCCTATGTAATGTTGTCTCAGCATCACCAGCTAAAGCATCAACAGCAATTGTTCTTCAGGTAAAATTTTCTTCCTTGTGAATTCTGAAACTGTTATAAGAGCTAATTCTGTTAATTTCTTTTTTTTAATCACTTCATTTGTTTAGTCACTTTTGGTGGCCATGTATCCTTGTTAGGCGGAGAGGGAATTGCAACCTTGGATTGCTAGAGATGATGAGCAAGGCCAAAAGATGTGGAGAATTAACCAGCGAATTGTAAAATTAATAGCAGAGCTAATGAGAAACCATGATAGCCCTGAATCCTTGGTAATTCTGGCAAGTGCTTCAGATCTTCTTCTACGTGCAACAGATGGAATGCTCGTTGATGGAGAAGCATGTACTTTACCTCAGTTAGAGGTAATATCCCAAGAAATTAGATTTTATTCTTTCTATTATGATTTCAAAGATAGATGCTATATATATATATATATATGGTAGCTCTTGGGTGCAAATGATTTCATATCCTGGTTTTCTTTCTTTTTTTAACATGGTAAATAATCTTTTCTAGTTTGGTTTTTACCAGGGTACTTACAAGTACTTGTTGCCATCTCATATCTAAATCTTAATGTCGTCTAGGATTGCATATGAGCCAAGCTAGATTGACTTGTTTGTGAGCTTAGCTTACATGAGACAGACCTCAACTCATTATTAAGGCCCCAAAGCCAAGCCTGAACATCAACTTAAGCTCATTTAGATAAATGAGCCTGAGCCAATCATTTGTGTGCTAGGCTTGGTTTAGGATCACATTGTTAGATGCTATATATTTTATATAATTAACATCACATATATAATAAATTATAATTTCTTGGTACTTTTCTTTTTCTTATGATAATTATCAGGTTAGGATCTCAAAATCATGGGCCTAAAAAATAATTGAGTTAAATGAGCTGAGCTAAGCCAAACCCAAGCCTGGCAAAAGCTTGATGATCTGAGCCTGAGGTCAACTGCTTGGCTGAGCAATTCTGACCTCATCTTAGCTTGTCTGCACCCTAATCAGTGTTACCTTACTACTCCCCAAGGGTGAAAAGCATTCGGGTATCAAGGTGTCGGGCACATCAACCTCCAAAAATTATATCTTGGATACATAGAAATTTGCATATAAAATTTGAACAGTAAAAAAGAGAATCAAGAAATCTTTTGATGTTTCCTTTCTCATGATATCTTATCTGAGTGTCAAGGTTCTTTGTGGACTTCAGCTTGGAGTATCATTAAGATGCTACAAAAAGTTTCATGCCCAGCATTACTTCCCCTAAATTATATCTTATCATTTCAACACTTTTTAATGGACCTCCATGGTTTTCTTTGATAACCTTTGGTCACGAAGATAACACCCTGTAGTCTGATTTACTTTTTGTATGTCTTTACAGTTACTGCATAGTTGGAAATCTGTTAAATTGTGGATTGATGTACTTGTATGGATTACTGACTTCAATGTCTACAATTGCTTTCTGAGATTTACTTCTATACGGAAATGAGCAGCTACTGGAAGCAACAGCAAGAGCTGTTCAGCTTGTGGTGGAGTGGGGGGAATCTGGTTCAGCCGTTGCAGATGGCCTCTCAAACCTGTTGAAGGTAAATACAAGCCTGAGCGAAAATATTTTGATCTATTTCTTCTTAATGTAGAGAGGTTAAACCCTTGTGGCATTCATACGTATGGGGCCCTTGCATGCAGTGTCGCCTACCAGCTACTGTCCATTGCCTTTCTCGTCCAAGTGCACATGTCCGTGCACTTAGCGTATCAGTTCTCCGTGATGTGTTATATATTGGTTCAAATAGATCTAATTCTAAACAAGAAGGCATACAGGCAATCCATGGTACCCGTTATCCTTACTTGAGTTTAGGCATCATTGATTGGCATGAAGACATCGAGAAGTGTTTAAAATGTGAGGCTCAGAGCAGGCATGCAAGTGGAATGAACATAACATTTCTTGGCGCCGCTGCCAAGGAGTTGGGCTGTACTATTTCCACTTGAGATCCCCTCCGAGGACCATCTAAGATTTGTTCATTCAGATGTATCACAAATTGCCAATATATTTTTATTTTATAGTCAATTTGTAGTTTCTTATGGGTACATTCATTCAAGTGAAATTTAGAGACAGAAACAGATAATGATGTATTTGAAGGATTAGGCCAAAGAAATAATGACGCTATTGTATCTCTTGTCATTGTCAATCGGAAGTTCAGGTCCTCTTGCGTTCTTCTAACCATTTTACATGGAAAGGTGATAATAGTGAGAGGGGGAAGGGGGCTGTTTGTCTAATGCTGTGTTAGTTTTATTTTATTTGTCTCGTATTCCTGTGTGTTATAAAACTCTCTCCCTGTTCTGAATTGCATAAACGTAGAATGGATCCCTGTCTAGTTCCCATTAATTATGTAATAATATCTTTCGGTTCCAGTCTAAGTTATTGTTAAATCAGTACACTGATCTGTCATCTATGTATAAAGTGCAAATTTGGTTTGAACTTTGAAGTAGTTAAGATATTCAGACATGGAAGAAGAAGAGGTTTTGTCGAGAGCAATTGATGTGTTACAGTTCACACCAAGAAACCATTCATTAACATATTGAGTAAATTTTCAAAGAGGCCCTTGAATAGGTGCCCTAATTCAAAAAAACATAAAATTGCAAAAATGCCCTTACACTTTCAACACTTTCCCTCAAGCTGAGCATAAATATTTGTCATGCGCAGTTTTGTTCAAACTGTTGTCAAGCTTTGATTGGAACACCTTTAGTAAGACAATCAATTAGCTGATCTTTAGACCTCACAAAAGATAAATAAATTTCTTCAATAGCAATTCTTTTTCTAATGAAGTGTCAATTAACCTCTATATGTTTTGTATTATCATGTTAAATAGAATTGTGGGTTACGTTTATGGCAGTTTGATTGTCACAATATAATATCATTGGAACATCAATTTGTATTCCCTTTTTTGTCAACAAGTTTTTTAACCACAACAATTTAGAAACTCTATGAGCCATAGCTTTATACTCTGCCCCTACACTAAATTGAGCTCCGATCGATTGTTTCTTACTTTTCCAAGATATAACATTACCATCCTCCAAGGTATAATAGCCTAGAATAGGCTGCCTATCATCAATAGAACATGTACAATCAGTATTAGAATACGACATTCCTTTTTTCTAGATGTCCTTTCAAATAGACAATTATTCTATTCACCACTTGCATATGAAATGATCTAGGCTTATGCATATATTAGCGGTTAATAAGTCTTTGATACTCGTAGGAAATATCCATCATTAACTCTCAATTTATAGTTGAGATCAATTGAAGTTTCAATTGATTTACAATCCAACTTTCTTGTCTCCTAAAGCAAATCAATGACATATTTCCTTTGAGAAATATAAATGCCCCTCTTTGGCCCTACGACCTCAATCCTTATGAAATACTAAAAATTCTCAAGGTCCTTGATTTCAAATTCAATAGAAAAAGAAGACTTTATTTCAACAATTCCAAAGATATCATATGATAACAATATCATTGACATATACTATCAACATAGTCATTTTTTTTTAATTTGCTCTCTTAATAAACAATGTATGGTCTTAAGATTGTAAGAAACTAATTTTAAAAAAAGTTTTTCTATGTATGTCAAACTAAGGTCTAGGGGATTATTTAATGCCATAAAGGGATTCTTCAAACAACAAATATTTCCTTCACTCCTAAGGATGTTCACTCTTAGAGGAGGTATCATGTAAACTTTTTCTTGAAGGTCACCATTAAGGAAGGCATTTTTAATATTTATTTGATACAAAGGCCAAGAAGACTAAGTAGCAAGAGACATGATAACTCAGATTAAATTCATTTTGGTTAGCAAAGTTTTCCTAGTAAGGAGCTTTATACCATTCAATTAAGCCATCAGCTTTATGCTTTCACTATGGAAACTCACTTACACCCAACAAGAACTTTGCCTTATAGGAGAGAAATAATTCCCATGTCTAGTTTTTTTTAAGTGCCTCCATTTCTTGGTTAATAGCATCTTTCCAATGAGGGACTACACTTTCTTAGTAACACTGTGAGGGATAAAAAAATAATCAATGGAAGAGATATAGGCACAATAAGACGGAGATAAGGTATCATAAGAGACATAATTTGAAATAAAATATTTAGCACATGTCCTTTTTGCTTTATGAACTTCAACAGAAAAGGTCATGGTTAGGACCCACATTAGGAAGCTCAGTAACAGATTCAACACAAGCATATAAACAAAATGAGGTTTATAATCCAAGTTACCTAAATCTGAGCAGTCAGATTATAATGGACATTCATTCTCTAGAGTCATCCTCTTTTCATTTGGCGAACCAATGGTGCCAAGACCGAAGAATAAGAAGAGGCAAAAGAGGCACAAGAAGAGCAGAGGAAGGATTGACAACATCAATTGTAGATAGAACAAGAATCAACATACTAAAAGGAGTCTAGTCTTCACTTTCTCCCCTTGAAAAAAAATGACAATAGAAAGAGAACAAGGGAGTAAACTCAAATGATGTGACATCTTTGGACACAGCTTTTTTCAGAACATGGGTCATAGCAATGTTACCCTTTTTGAACCGAAAAATATCTCAAGAAAACACACTTAATAGACTTTGAATTAAATTTCACCTTAGAATGACTCATGTCATGGACAAAATAGATGCACACCCAAAGACCTTAAGAGGAAGATAAAAGGCATTCTCATCAGGAAAAATAAGCTAATGAGACTGGAGATGAAGGGTCTATGAAGACAGTTTGTTAATAAGATATACAATTGTTTGTATAGCATGCCCCCAAAACAGAGTTGGGACATGCATATGGAATAAAAATTCTCTGTTAACTTCAACCACATGTCTATTTTTCCTCTACGATACCACATTTTGTTGGTGAGTATGAGGATAGGAACTCTAGTGAATTACACATTTCTCTTCAAGGAAAGTTTGTAAGTGCTTCTCAAAGTATTCATTGGCATTATCAAATTCGATAATCTTAATATTCTTTTCAAATTGTGTCTCCACCATACTAAAGAAGTCTTTTATAATTGAAATTTATCTCGGCTCTTCATCAAATACAACTAAGTATATCGCGAGTAGTCATCAACAAAAAGAATGAAATATTTATAGCCACCCATACATGGAATAAAATAAGGTCCTCAAACATTAGTATGTATTAAATGAAAAGCAACATTTCTTCTCTTATTACTTGCAAAATATGTGGTTCTACATTGCTTTGATAGTTGACAAATTTCACACTATAGACCAAAACTAGACAAGGACTCAAACAAATTAGAAAACAAAAACTTCAATTAACCAAAAGACGCATGCCCAAAACAGTAATGCCACGATTTCAATTGACTTACTTAGATTAATACATTAACCCTAACTTTGGAGACTGATTAAGAAGATAAACTCCATCGACTTCATGTCCACTACTAATCGTCTTCTCCATACTCATATCTTGAAAGGCACAATAAGGTGGAAGGAAGGTTACTGAACAATTATGAGACTTTGCAAGTGAGCTAACATATAAGAGATTTCTATGCAGTTGTGGGGTGGAAAACAAATTTCAAAGAAAGGTGATTAGTAAGTTTAATTTCATTCCAATCCGAGATTGGGGTCTGAGATCCATTAGCAATAATAATCATACATTTCCCTAAACAAAGTTTATAAGTGGTAAAGTAGGAAGGCCAATCATATGATCATTGGCTCATGTGTCAATATCCAAGAGCTAAAGGGTGAGGCATGACAAGCAAGTGCAATACCTTCATATGAAATTTCTTGAAGGCCCACTTCCAACAAATGAAAAAATGTGGCTTCTGTGGATGAGGAATTCTCATCCGCTCAATTCCCACCATGGTAATCTCCAAATAACAAACACATACGAAAGGAAAACACATGAAAGAAAGGGCATTTCACTAAATGTGCCATAAATTACAAGCAGTGTCAAGAAAAAGCCCCAGTCGCACAAAGTCATTTTCTTCCTCTCACTCAACGGTTAGTCAGTTATCTTCTCTCAAACCTCAGGTAAGTTTCTCTTGCATTCAATTTTTTTTTTAAGAAACAACTTCGGTCGTCTTTTCATGGCAACTACCTCTGTGTTAGATCTAAGTTCAAAATTCCATATTTTATACTCCATTTCATTTTCCTATCTAAATCCCCAAATAGATTTTCTTCTTCTTACTTCTTTTCCCGCTCACGATCTCATTTACACGCTTACATCCCTAGCAGCTATCTAGGAGCCATGTCCCTCAAAGAAGTTCTTGATCCACTTGGCCTTTAGCAACGTGGTAAGTGCTTAAATTCCTTTTGCTCTTTGTGCTCTAAACATTGTTGCTTGTTGAAAGATGCCGAAGGCTCCATTTGGAAGGAGTATAAATACAAATATGTACTGTGCAAATACATACAAAATAATACAAAATGCAAGATTTTGCGCTCTACATATTTGTATTTGTACTCCTTCCAAACTGAGCTGAAAGGTCAGGGTTTATAATCAGAACTGGTCTGTATCTGATGCACCTAATGTTGGGGTTTGTGGTTTCATCCTCCAGCATGGCCAGCGAGGTCGCTTACATTGGGCTTAGGGGAAATTCTCATGTGTGGTGGAGTAAGATCTGCTCCATCTACAACAATTCTATCGGCATGTTAGGAGTTCTGTTGCAATCTCTATTTGCTTCCATTATCCTTGTTTTGCCCGTTATGCTCTCGATGTACTCCTTTTACCACTCCAAGAAATCAATCAGATTCCTAAACTATAAATCTTTAACTAGCGGGAACCCATGCGACGCACGGGATTTATCAAAATTAATAAATCTGATAATTATAATGTTGTTTCAAACAATTTATCTTTATTTTTGTTATTTGTTACAAAAATAATAAATTACTACTAATTACTTAATAAAATATTTATTTTTCCATATTATCCATTAGTATTCTATTTTATTTATTTGATTTATTAACAAATAAATATTATAATTTTTTTGTAAATGTTACTTAAGTATTAGTAAATACATAAAGTTAAGTTGTAGTCATAATTAAATTAATGTAAGCCTGAGCTTGAGATTTAAAAATTCGAGTTGGCCTTTGGTTGATCCTCAACCTAACCCAACCCCCTAAGTTGCAACCTCAAGAGCAATGTGACATTTGTAAATTATTTGAACCAAACTGAGCTATGGGGGAAGGGCTACCCCCCACTGTGTAGCCCAATGAACCAAAAACACAAAA